TCCTTCCTTCCTTCCTTCCTTCCTTCCTTCCTTCCTTCCTTCCTCTGTCTCTCCTCTCTTTCTCTCTCTTCTCTCCCTTCCTGCCTCCCTCCCTCCCTTCTTTCCTTCCTTCCTTCCTTCCTTCCTTCCTTCCTTCCTTCCTTCCTTCCTCCCTCCCTCCCTTCCTTCCTTTCTCTTTCACAAAGGTCTGGTGCTGGGCACCAGTGACCTCATCTTTCCCATCTCCCAAACTTCTAGGGGGTAGAATGTGATGATGACACCATCATCACAGGGTCACACCCCAAAGAAGGGAGCAGCAGAGCTTTTGCCCCTTAGGTGGAGCCTCTGGTCTCTACTAAACCTTAACCACCCAGCTTGATGAAAGTAGGCCCCTGGACCCTCAAACCCTAACACTGCCCCCTCCTCCTGGCATTTGGGCACTGTGAACCAAGGAGCACCTACCCTGAAGGGGCTAACCACCAGCAATGCCAGTTCCCCCAGGGAGGTGGGAGGAAGAAGGGACAAATGTCAGCCTGGACTGTCTCTGTCCTTACACACACTGTGAAGGTCTTCCAGCGCCTCTCCTGCCCCTCCCCACCCTCCTTGTTTCTACCCCAACATGACCTTTGGGATCAATTTGGCTGAGAAGCTGTGGCTCTGACTTGAGTCACGATGGGCCCTAGAAGTAGGGTGGGGGTGAGCACTGCCCACCCTTTCTGTCTGACTAGGAGTGGGGGTAGCTGAGGCTGGGGCCCTGACAGAGATGAGTGGTGAGGGGACTTCTGCAGCCCTGAAGGTCCTAGTGTGAGCTTCACTACCAGCAATGCCGGCCCACCCACCATGGCAGTGCCACACCATGCTTTACTGCATGGCTCACTCTCAATAAAGCGCCTTTGGAGTCAGTGGTCTGTGACGGTGCAGGCTGGGGAGGGGGGAGTGGCTGTGGGGCCTCTGGCTGAGCACCCTGGGCTCTGGGGCCCTCCCAGCCTGTGGCTGAGTGCCTCCACATCCTGGTACCAGTCCCTCTTGGAGATCTTGAAGTGGGCTCCAGGGGAGAGGAGTGTGTGACTGAGCAAAAGACTATAAGACTTTGTGCTGGTGAATGTCTGTGGGAACAGATGTGTCAGATTGGGGGACTGGACGGACATAGGAGTGTGACTATGGGTGTGATTGCCTGGCCCTTGGAAGAGATAGGGAGTGAGTGTTTGGGTAATGATCTGACATCACACATGCATGGGGGGTGTGAAGGCAGCAGTAGTGGTTGAGGGCGTGGTCGCTGAGCAGGGCTGGTGGGGGGAGAAATGCAGAAGTGCTCCACAGGGTGTGCAAAGCCCAGGCCCTGTGCTTCGGCTAGCTGGACTTGCATAGTTTGGGCCCAGCCTGTGGTTCGTCCAGGTGAGGGGGCAGGTAAGGGGGCCAGGTAGAGGAATAGGGGCTGCCTTACAAAAAAGAAAAGGGAGTACAGGGGACTGAGGAGGAGACACTGCAACTCTGGGCTAGCGCTTCCTCTCCATGCAGCGATCTTGGCAAGCAGTGACTGGGGGACATGCTGACCCCCCGCCCAGGGCTGTGACTCCCCGCTCATCCACTCTTGGCTTCATCACCAGCCTCCCTTTCTCCTCCCAAGACAGGCTTTACTACTACTCTGTCATGACTCGGACACTTCCCACCAGCCCTGGGCTCTTCCTTCCTCTGGTGCCATCTCCGCCTCTCCTACTGTCTCCCTCTCCCACTGACCTGGAGAAGAGCAAATCTACCTGAGCAGGTGCTGAGCAGGCCATCTCTATTAATTTGCTCATGTCGATGGGCCTTAACCTTTGAAGCATCCAGTACCTAGAGCGGATGACCTCTTCTCTGAGCTCCCCAACTCCACCCTGTATGTGTGTAAGGAAGGCCACCTCCCCAGGCTCCAGTCCTGTCTCTTCTGGTGTGTTGGTCTGCAGCTTCAGATGCCACCTGCTGCCATGGTAAAGCCGTGGGTGAGAGGGGCCACCGCTGACACAGCCTTGGGGTGTGGTCAGAACTACCCTTCTCCTCCTGCCTCAAGATTCTATCCCTGCAATGCCAGGCTCAGCCCAAACCCCTCTCCCACCTGCTGTTAGATGCCTTGAATTACACTCTCTTTCCTCTTCCCGGACAAGACTTCCAGATCCTGTTCTGCGAGCCTGGCTAGTGCAGAGGAAGTGTGAACCTACGATAAGGACTCAGGGCAGTGGGACATGGATCAATGGTGTGAGTAGAGTGGACATTGGCTGCCCCGAGTCCCCTCAGCTTATACCCCCAGCTGAAGGTCATCATTTATCTCTTCTGTGTCCCCCTTCCTTCACAGGCACACCAGAAGAGATTTTCCACATCCAGTGCCCCAGGGCTCACTTTCCCATCAGCTCCAGTCAGCCACGATGGGGACTCCTCACCTCACACCCCTTCCCTGGGTGACAGCCAGGGGCAGGCCCCTCTAGGGCAATATGGCCAGTGAGGCCATAGGGCAGCCCCACACTCCTACACACAGTGAGGCTGGAGGGTGTGCTGTGTCCCCACTCCTATGCAGGACCCCCCCAGGCAGGCTCCAGGCCCTGAAGGGTCCTCTGGGAGGCAGGCTTCTGTTGAGGAAAGGATGTGATTCTGACAGCACAGAAGCATCAAGCCCCCTGACCTTGGGGAATTTGAGATGGGACCAGTAGCTCCTGCAGGGATGCTGCAGACTGGCGCTGGAATGAGGGTGAAACCTCCCATTCCCACCCTAAGCCCTAAAAGTCTAAGAACTGAGGCACCAGGCCTGTCCTCAGAAGCACAGGGGCTGTGGTAGAGGACACAGAGCTGGTCCTTCCAGGGCCTGCGGGAGCTCTAGGGTGCTACAGGTGGTGAGTGACCCCTGCCTCCCCAAGGAAACTACTGCTGGCCTGGACAAGGGATCCCATTAAGGGGCCAGAAAATGAGGTTCCCCGCACTCTCCTCCCTCTAGAAGACATGAGGGCAGCCACTTAGAACCTTTTTTAAATTATTATCTTGAGACAGGATCTCGCTCTGTTCCTGAGGCTGGTGTGCAGTGGCGCAGTCACAGCTCACTGCAGCCTCAACCTCCCAGGCTCAGGTGATCTTCCCACCTCGACCTCCCAAGTAGCTGGGACTACCAGCGCACCCCACCATTCCTGGCTAATTTTTTTGTGGGACAGGGTCTCACTATGTTGCCCACGCTGATCTTCAACCCCTGGGCTCAAGCAGTCCTCCCACCTGGGCCTCCCAAAGTGCTGGGATTGTAAGTGTGAGCCAATGTGCCCAGCCTTAAAATTGTTTTTTACTAATTAATTTCACAATTCCTGAGCCCTGCTACGTTCCGGCTATGTGGGAATATAAAGATGAACAAGCTCTCATGGAGCTCACATTCTATTTGGAGGAGACAGACAATAAAGAATTAAATAAGTGAGCAAATGAGACCAAAAAGGTTAGCTAGTGAACAGCACTACACAGAAAATTATAGTAGGACGTTGTGATAGAGGGACTTATCAGGTGCTTGGGGGATCTTCTCTGAGAGGTGACACTGAAGCGGAGCTCTGAATGGCAAGAGTCAGCCATGCAAAGGTCTAGAGCAGGAACATTTCAAGCTCAGAAAACGGCTGGTGCAAAGTCCGAAAGTGAGAATGAACTGGGCTCCGTGTGTCAGAACAAGAAAGAAGGGCTTTGAGACAGAGGTGGAACATGAAGCTGGAGAGTGGGGAGGAGTATTGCTCAGCTCGTGGAGGGCTTAGTAAGCCCCCATGAGGAGATGGGATTTGATCCTCAGTGAGATGGGATCCACTGGAGGGTTTTAAGCAGGGAAGTGACATGATCTGATTTATGATTGTAAAGACTGCTCCCCCTGCTGTGTGGAAGCAACAGAGTGGCAAGGGGCAAAAGGGAGAGCAAGGGCAGGTTAGGAGGTCCCAGCAGTGAGACATACGGGCACTGAGACCAAGGTGGTTGCTCGGACTGGACATATTCTGCAGCTGTTGGGGGAGTTTTGGGGACATGAAGGAAAAGAATCCTAAGGAAGTTCTAAAGTTTTGGTTTAAGCACCAGAGTGCATGGTGGAGGATCTAGTTTTGGGATAAAAGCGATGCCGTGGTAAGGCATAAGACCTGTTAGCCCAGAGGTACTGTCCCACAGGAGCTGGAGCCACAGCCTGGAGTTCTGGAAAGAGGAGGTGCTGGGATGGAGACAGAAGCCGTCGGCACGTGGATGGTGGTGAAGCTCCGAGGAGAGAATGAAGACAGAGAGCCCAGAACCTAAAATAATCTAACCACGGACTCCAGGGGGAAGCAGGGAGCCTGTGTTGCTGACTTCTGAATCCCGCTCAGCCTTCTGCGAGGGAGACTTCCTGATGAGAGCTGTGGACTAGGAGTGGGGGATTAGCGAGAAGCGGAATGTGAGCACCAAGGGGCCAGGACTTCTGACTTGTTCACTCCTGTACCCTCAGTGCCCACCTGGCACAAGGTAGGTGTTCAGCAAATGCCTGTGGACTGGAGGAAGAAGGAAAAGGTGTGGATCTCATTGCACAGCTGATTCCAGGTCCTCAGTAATATGGGTTTGTTAAGATGCCTAACTCTGGGAGGGAAGGGAGAAAATCTCCTCATGTGTATGGGAGTTGTTCCCCTAGCCAATTGCACTGTTTTCTACTTCTCTGTGGGGAGGCAGGGTGGCACGGGAAAGAAGGGATGACTAGATCAGCGTCGAGCCTGAGGCCCAGGCTCCCCAAAGTAGGAGATAGCCAGATGAAGGGACC